ATTCTCGCGTGGAGGAGGAGGAGGCATCCCAAATAACCCAAGATGAGGAAGAACTCTGCTCACATGATTACCAGACATTTGCACAATGGAGTTTATTTTGACAGTCAGCTTTTTGTAATGAAATATGAGCAAACCCTGCAGGAAAAGTCAGGCGTTTTTTTTCTTTCTGTTTGCATTAAAATCAAATTTCTGTGATTTTGATGTTACACTGACTGACGACAGACTGGTATTTATCAGCACCTGTTCACCTTAAAGCATGTAAAGGACTTTGCAAATCAATACATTTTTTATATTCATTTTTTTTAACATGAGTACTTTCACACAGAATGCAAATATCACGTGGCAAATTTGCAATGTAATTTCTTTTACAGAACAAGGTATTTCGTACACTATAGTTCACAAACAACAAAGCAAAGGCGGCAAACTTTATTGCACCTTTCAGCCTTGGCAAAGGAAGCACATCTTTTTGTTCTTACCTTTCACAATAAAAACCCTAAACATGGGAGGAGCATGTTCTTCATTAGGAATGATAGCTTAGCCATAATTTTCCTTTCTCCCACCACCTCCACTGGAGTCTGTAAACCCATCTTCCATATAGAAATGATTTAATTTGAAGTCAGACTGAAGCTGATGTTTTTTCAAACTTAAAATAAAGTTTAAAAAAATCATATTCCTGACAAAGATAAAAAGAACAAACTGGGTTAATTCTTTTTTCAGAGCGTACTTGACTAATCATGTGATCACTTGAAAGCTGGTCTCAAATGTTACTCCTACATTTAGTCAGCCGTGTTCCACTCTGAACTTTTTATTCTGAAGAATAATCAGTGTGCAGCGTTTTTCAAGTAGACCTTTATTGTGGAGGGAACAGTTCCTCCCCTGCCCAGCTGGATCAGCTCCAGACGTTTCACAACACTGCTGATGATGAAATGCCTGTTCCAGTGAAACGGTTACACCAAAGGAAAATGTCTTTAAGAGCCACAGTGAATCATAACCCTGGTGTGCCAAAACTTCCACGAGGCCTCTGGCTGTTTTTACATCACTCAGTTGGCAAAGAGGCTGACATCTCCTGGTGATGAAGGTTACCATGCTGTCTGGATCCAGGCTGGCTTCCATGTACAGATATCAAAGGGAATGTTTACTTTCTGTTGTAATTTACTGAAGGCTTCATAGATGTACAGTATATATCAAGAAAATTTATGATTTTTATGCCTAATAGAATTTTAGAAATGATTAATCTGGTATTTTTCGAGCTACAGTGTACTTTGTTAGCAGGAAATGATGAAAACCTACAGGTCCTATTTTGGTGTCCTTCAGGCAACATTTTGAACCAAAAATAATTCAACTTTACCGTAGTTGGATTCCCTGTAACAAACATGGAGGGGCAAAAAAAAAAAGATTTAAAAGAACTTTAGCTAAATTAAATGAGATAAGAATTAGCTAGAGAGAGTGGGCGCCAGCTCCAGAGACGTACTTTAAGTTAGCGGTTAGCTGTAGCAACTCAAATTCAGCCAGTCGGGGGTCACAGTGGTCTACTTGTATTTGAGCTACAGCTAACTGCTTACCGAAGGCCAAGAGACCGCGGGGCACGCTAGCTCGTTAATTCTTGTCTCATTTGTCTTGTCTTTATATTTGTGGCCAATCCAGAACCGACCCGGAAGTACATCGACCTAAATTTATTACATTTTTATTTTTTTTACATTGACCTAGATGAAAGTTTTGCAGGACTGTGAGATCTTTCTGTATTTTCCCCTCCATGTCCCTCCTGGGGTTCCGTATTACAGCGAGCTGAGCAGGTGAATCTGAAGGTTAACTCTTCATGTGTTTTCAGTTGGCATTCTTGGGGAAAATGACAAATTGCTCAGCGCAATGGAAAAAACAGGTCGACACAAAGCACCGATAAATGGGCAGATCATTTACATGTTAATAGCAGGCTGATGAAATCTTCCAGTGAAGCAGTAAAGATTGGCTGCGCGCCAAGTGCAGACCAGGGTTTGACTAGTTTCTTAGAAAAGAGTTCAAGGACCTTTGTTTTGCAGTAATGAAACATCTTTAGAGCACAAAGGAAACGTGGAGAATTCATCAGAGATCAAAGAGCTCATTCTCATGTCTGTACAACTATTACCAGCCTTTCTCTCTGTGGTGACAACCTAACAGGCTAACTTCAGGATGTTTTATGTCTTGAAGTGGTAGTGTGGTCATCTCCTTCAACTGGTTCCCTCAGGGCCTTGTGTGATTTATTGTTATGAATGATGTCCAGTCGCAGTCACAGCTGATGGCTTTTATTGTTTGTCAGCTCATTTCTGGTCAGACCGTCTCATAAAACCTGCCAGTGCTGTTTATTGACACGTCATTCTGTGTTAGCGAAATTAACTTTGTTTAGATTCCCCCTCATGACACTGTGTTTAACTCTTTGAGTGTGTTTTATTATAAGGTGGTGTAAACTCTTCATGGATGAGAACTGAATAAATGTGCTCTGGTCTTGACCAAGGACAGATCATCATCAGTGTAACGATAGGACTTTAGGTTGATCTTTTAGTCTGGTTCAAACTTTTATACAGGTGTCAATCTTAACAAAATGTCACATTTGGACTGTGATTGCAGTTCTTGGCGTCATGATTCCATTCAGGATCCATTCTTGATTCAAAACCTAACTGTCCTTAGTCCACTGAATTGCAATTTGAATCATCACTGGTTTTAGTTAAGCTACATGGTCTTAATTAAAGAGATAGTTTGGATGTTTTGAAGTGGGCTTATATGAGGTACTTCTCCATATTCAGTGTGTTACCTACTGTTGGAGCTATTTACTTGATATTGTATTTTGTTATTTCATTTATAAGTAGTATTGTTTAATTATTGTAGGTGTTTGATATATTAAGATCATTTTTTCTCTTTAATAGTAATTTGTTTAGTTATATTGTTTTTTGGGTAATTACTGTGGGCACCTGTTGCTATTTATAGGAGTAGACAGATAGGACCAGCATGCACCGGGGTGGGCGTATAGTTTTTACCAGCAGCATAGCACATGACAGGAGAGATGGCACTGACAGGAGTTTTTTTAGTTCGTTTGTTTGCTTGTTTTGTTTGCTTTATTTAATAAACACGAAAATCGGAATCCTGCATGGACAATCTCTTCTGGCTGCGTAAGAATACCGACCACGGTGCATCAGTGGCGTTTGATTATTGTTTGTTTAAGTTTGATTAAGTCGACAAATGGCCACTACACCTACAATAGATTGTAGAAACACACAGGAGTACCAGCACGTGAGCAAAGCAATGTACTGTTGAAGATGTATTTTAGACACCTAAAAACATTAATATCAGTTTAAATGTACGCAATATTTTCAGAATATTTTCACCACTTTATCTTGCCTCTCTGACGGGGAACTGAAGCCGTTATCTATGTTCTCTTCAAAGCCACCAGACTCCTTTTACCTTGCAGAAAACAGTAGTTGGTGGTCTTCTGCTGTTAGTTAGTTAGTGTTATTTTGTGACTTTGGTGCTTTAAAGGGTTAGAGTTCAGACTCAGCAAAGTCACAATCACTGCTTTGAATTGATGACACGTTGTATGAACTGGTACTGACGGAGCATGACCCGACCCTCAGTCTCTAGGTGATTGCATATGAAGTTTTAACAAAATCCTTTGTACACTTTTGTCTCGTAAAGCTAATTAAAATGAGTAATGAATAAAATAATACAACACATTCATCATCAATTCAGTACACTTTATGCTGCTTCAGCCTTTCTTGGTTGGGTATGAGCAGTAGATGTTTGTGGCAAATGGTGTCAAGATAGATATTGCTGTATTACTTCTTGATAAATTTTTAGCATGTAACATTTCAGAGGTGTTATCACCACACCACAGTCAGAAAGAACAAACGCTTCCTGCAGATGTTTCACATTAGAAGCCGATCAGCAATCTGACGTACTCTAAAGGGGTCCGTGTGAAAAATGGGCAGATGACGACATTTACGTCACGCTGATCAAAGCGGAAGGGGAAAGTATGACTTGGCCTTTCTGACTACGATTACCAGCAACTGTCTTATTCCAGGTTCTTGATCTCAACTGTTAGCCTTCTGCTAAAATTGAGTGGAGCGGTCTTTAAAGGATTTGTGCAGAGAGGAGTGGTGTCTGAGGACCTCTTACCTACTTGTTATTACTGAGTGGGAACGTTTCCTTGGAACTTCTCGGTCAATTAACGCTGGTGCTTTATTGGCTGCAGTGCAAAAAAACAACTAAAATGGCTGAGCAAGTATCGAGTGGCTGAGTAATCATGAGAACTACCAACACAGCTGAGTTGAACTGGAGCAGGAAAATATCCTCCTGATGCTCACTATGCACAGCTTTGTTCCATTCAGTGACACAAGAACAGAAGGAGGCATTCCACACACGCGCATACACGCACACGTTTTGGACCAAAATCAGCTGTGTGCCTCTCATACACTCACACAAACACACACCAGAACTGTAGCCCTACTCAACACACAATGAGGTCTTTAAGAGACACTCCTCTGTTCAAGTTGTTTTTATTCGCTTGACCCAGATTAAAATAAAAAAAAACAGCCTGCAAAACTACATTGTACAATTGATGAAGTGCAGATGTTCCTCTGATTGGTTGGTAATTATCATAATTTCTTCCAGTAAACTAAATGACTTGACGCTGGAGTCCTATTTACTACTTCAATGGTGTTTCATGCCATGTTGCGTCTTATACATTCTGCACAGCACTTAACATTGAATTTACTTAACTCACTTGATTTGCGCCCAAGATAATTAGAAACAGAGCGCTCCAACAAACTGAACAAACATGATGTCTACTTGTGTTTGAGCTCACCGCTGGTCGACAACATGCTACTCAAAGTTTCTCTTTAGCTTTTTATGGAAGTGGTTTTGTTGATGTGATGAAACCGATAAATCCTGGTTCGTTTGTCTGGTTCATTCCATCCAGGCTTCTCACAAATTAGCCCAGCTTTCCTGAGCCACCTTTATGGTCTCTTTTACAGACGACGCGTCGGCAGACGGCAGCACCGACTTCCCAGACCGAGCTTCCATGATGGAGGTGCGTCTGCAGGCGCAGGAAGATGAGATCACGCTGCTGAAATCCTCGCTGGCTGACGCCCTGCGCAGGATCCGCCTCCATGATCAGCTCTTACCATTACTGAAACAGCAGCTCATTGCAGGTGAGTGATCTTCAACATGCTCATGGTACAATGGGTGGTAGAGCATCGCCCAGTGTATTTCATACTTTACCATTGCATATGCAAAGACATATGCAAAATATTTTACATTGTCAGTAAAGGAACCTAACCTTGGATTTGATAGTCCATTTTTGATTTTGTAAAGAGAAACATTATCTTTGACATCTCCAAAGGTGATTCAATTGAACTAGATCAAACAATTTGATGTCCAAACTCATTTAAATGCAAAAGTGTGTTTACCTGTTTTGAATGGCCGCTACTAAAGGCATTATAGAGAGGGGCGACGCATGTTAAATTGTATAAATGGGGATGACGGTGCACACTCTGAGACCTTCTCTCTTTGAGGGAATTGCACTTAGTACTCAGATTGTCCGTTCTCTCAAAGATTGTAGGAAGCGGCCCTCACTGATGCTTAATCTTAACTAAACATCGTAAACTAGATATAGTGCCTTTCGTTTAAAATTCTTAGCGAGTTGATGAACTATACATTTTGGGAATTGTACAAGTGACTGACAAGCTAAAGTATCAAATAAAATATTGTGATGTATTGGTTTTTAATCTTGGGTATCTGTGACAGTATCAACAAATTCCGAAATAAAAACCCTGTCCTATATGGTCCACACTATAAATCTCTGACCGCTGTTCATGAAAAACGACTGGACATACTGAGTGTGCCAGTGCAGTTTCACTCAGAAATATCAATCAAGAGACGTCAATCAAATAATAATCAACTTTTGTCCCACCCAGTGAACCCAGGTGCTGCTCGAGTGCTGAACCATGTGTGCTGCTCTGATGGTTGCACAGGCAGCAAAAGACTTTCCTCCAGCTCAGCCGTTGATGGGATCCGCCACCCTGCTACCAGGTACTGGACCAACACGCTAAGGGCTCAGATAAACGGGATGGATGATGAGTGGCCATCATTTATTTCCCTTCATGTATAGCCACATTGTTGCTACATCAGAGGCATGCTAGACCGTTCAAAAGCCTGCTTGTGTTCATATGATGTGTGATTTGTATGACTCTTCCCTGTTGACCTCAACCTTTGAACTATCTCTAGCCAACTGTCAGGCAGCATTGTGACCAATGCCAATGGCCACATAGGAAGCCCAGTGTCCATGATGCCGAGACCCAGATCAGCAACCCTGGACAGGTCAACCCAGACAGAGCCCATCCTCCCAGGGCAGGACACTGGGCAGGACAGGGTCCCTCTCCCCAGGCGCGTCCAGAGCCTGCAACTGGAGGACGCACTCCCTCCGGGGCAGCCTTTGGTTGAGGGGACACGGGCCAAGCTCCACCGCACCCCCGGGTTGGAAGAGGAGGATGAGGAGGAAGATGAAGAAGGAGGAGGGGAGCAGGAAAAGGAGCTGAGTTGGACGTCGTCGGTGGAGGAGCCCATTCAGCCCACCACGATCAGATGTCTCCAAAGGGAGGACTTCCGGGACAGAAGCTGCTCCCCAGAGGAGCTAGGCTCTGCCTCGGCCTCGGTCAGAACCTCAGACTCCAACCTCAGCTCCCGCTCCGGCCCCCTGTCCGCCATCCAGGAAGGAGAGAAGAAACCGCTGTGGGTGATCTCGCCACCCTCACCACCGCCGTCTCCTTAATCATCATCTCTCTCGAGATTGATCGCATGGCTTTTAAGGACTAATCAAAAAATGTCTTGATTCTGACTTGTGTGACTGCAAACCCCAGTTGCGCTGCAAAACCCCCTTGTGAGGTGATCAGGTTGCCAGGGTGTGATTATGGTGTGTTAGAGCAGACACCCCGATCGGGGACGACATGTTCTGTCGTCATGTTCGCTCCAGCTTCCATGTGCTTTCTTCCCCATATATTTGAGCAGGGGGCGAGGGAAACAATAAGCCTTAGTGGAACACAATGGCCGCACTCGTCCACACTGAGTGACATATCTAAGATTAGCTTCACGGCACACAGATTGGAACCCAATGGAAAATGTGATGTGAGGGTAATTGCATACAGCATACTGAACAAAAGGGGCTAGGGTTACAGCATGTATACACTTAGACTGATCGAGAAAGGTCAGGGGGTTTGCACGATTGTACAGATGTAACAAAATATTTTGAAATGGCATATCCGTCTAAACAGCAAACAGCATACATGATACCCGTCAAAAGAACCTCCAGAGTGGTCCTCCAGGTTACAACTTCACTGTAGCCACAGAGAATTAAGTTTGATGGTTCTGTAAGACGATACAGATGTGAGGAGTTGACACAGTGCCACTAAGGATCTGCCGTTCAACTGGGTTTTGCAGAAACACACAAACTGCCTGAAATCTTGATGATTTTTAATGCAGCTCTACTCTTTCTTAATCACACTTTTAACTTTGTCTTCCTCAAACGAATCAAGGTGCATGATGTGATTTGTTCTCAAACGACTGCCTTTGAAGTGATGAGAAAGCACAGTGCCAGAGCACTGCTGCTTTGTGTGTGTAATGTGCATGTGCATGCATGTGTTCTTTTGTCCGACTTCCTTGTTGTGGCTTGGAAATGGGTTTCATTGGTGATGGGTAACATGTGCTCTAGTCCCTCCACTCAGCTCTGCCATGCCCCTCTGGGGTACTGGGAACGCCGTGCGTCCCTGCTCAGCCTACTACACCTACATTCAACTTTACTTCAGATTAGTAGTAGAGAGATTTGGGAGGAGGGGGTGGTTGCGAGCTGAGTTTTACTTCCTCGATCCGTGGCCAGTGATGTAGATAGACATCAAAGATTTATTTTAGTCCCACAACACTTCCTCTAGTGATGCTGCTGTTACAATGGCATGTCATCAGGAAACGGGGTGTGTCGCAAGAATTCCTCAGAGACAATAAGAGATTAATTATGGTTCAGAACAGTTTGTTTGTGGGTAATCATATTCATTTGTCTTGACCCTCACCAGTCCTCTCTTCTACAAATTGCCTGTTTAGAATTGGGAGTTTGGGTGATGGCCGATAATTAGTTATAAGCCAATAGTTAAAAGGTAATTCCAGTTTATTACAACTGGGTCCAGTATTCATGGTACACTTCTATCAGTAATGATGACGACACTGAACTCCCCAAGTTCTTTTTATGAGATCAGGGAACAAGATGTCATTTCTAAAAAGAAGTTTGACGGGGCAAGAAACATGATCAGACAGATTGTAAACAAACCTCTGTGTTAGCCAAACTTGTTTGAAAGAGAAAGAAAGGGGAACAAGAGTCCCAATTCCCAAACTACAATTATCTGATTATTATCAGACCTACTTCCTGCTCTAGATGACCTTTTGGCTTGTTTACGACCTGTTCCACTTCTTGTTATGTATTTGTCTGCTTCAAAGTCAGCCTGTAGTAACCTAAGCTTATTTCCAAGGCCAAGAGTTAGCATCTCATTAGCTAACTACACCTAAGGCCCAGTGGAGGACTGGAACATTCACTGCGTGGGAGGCAGTGTGGAGTTTAGGGTAACGTTTTAGCTGCTCTGTCCTGCTGTGTAATGGATTTGGGGAAGTTTAACCAGATAAATTTGCCATTACTATGTGTTTGCCAACACATTAGCTTATCCTGTTAACTTTTTGCCATGGACCTGTTAGTCTTCTCTAGTGTTTAAACTAACTCCAGGAGTTAAAGTTAATTAACTAACTATAGCCAAAGATACTCTCTAACAAAAGATGAACCATTACAAGCAGAGCCAATGAAATGGTATGCACCTCCTGTCTCCTAATTAGGCCCGAACAAATGTAGTTATATTTTCTTTTTGCTAACATGAGATGTTTAGACAGCTGACAGCCATATTTAGCGTTACGAAAATGATTTGGCCAGGGCGTTTGCAAACGTTAGTTGACATTAGCTTGAAATCTTGACACAGTTTGGCTTACGCTAGACTAGTAACGTCACCAGACCGACTGTTTAGCAACAACAGAGAGAAGAGATATCTGTGTTGCCAGAGCTCGCAAAAGTGAGTTGCTGAGACAGAGAAAGGTCTCAAACAAAGTACATTTCCTCCTGATTCGTCTGTCTAAAAAATGCCATTTTAGTGTCAGAATGTTTGGAAGAAATAGGGCTTGTGAAAAATGGGTCCAATATTTACTTCTCTGACTAAGGAGCAAAATAATTGGTCATAATCTGTGTTCAAGTTCACTTCTCCCATTGGAGTTAACAGACTCAGGATCTGCCACTAGTCCCCTAAAGAGGTGGGGGCAGTGACGAAACCCACGTGACACTGACACTGGAAATAACACTAAAATGTGCCGTCTACTTTCTTAACCATCTCTACTACAGTTGATCAAATCTCCCTACGACAATTGCAGTTTTATCCAGCAACATCAACGGTTGCCAGCTAGAAATAGGAGGCTGCTTTTATCTACGTCTGTCTGAAATCATCAATCAAATTCCGATGGTAAATCTGCCACCATTATCTTTGTAAACTGCTAAACTGGAAAAGCTTTACAGGCGTAGCAACAGTAACAAATGGGTGCAGGGCTTTATTGAGAAAGATCAGTTACTTTGGTGAGTACAATGTTATTATTACAGAGAGTAATGGTGGCCAAAACATAGGTTGTATTAAACCAGATTTATCCTTTTGGAAGGTTGGGAATGAAGTCGGTAAACAATTCCAAACATGGCAAACATAAATGTTTCTGTGTGTACGTACTATTTATACATGCAAAATATCCATTAACTACCATTTTGCATGCATAATTAGTGGGGTAACTGCATGCATCTGCATGGGATTTAGTGTCACACAGTGTTTACCGCTGGAAACTGAAGCAGATTTCTGTCCGCTCTGGTGTTCCAGGGTTCGTAGGAACAGCGAGAAACTGGGGAACCCGGAGAGGCAGAGGAAACGTCTGGACAAGAAGGCGGCGTCCTCGGCTAACCTCCTCACCCGCTCCCCCAGCCTGGAGAAGTGAGCCACGCTGCCATCACTCACAGCTGTCACCACACAGTCACACAGCTCACTATTTCCTATGGCTGCTGCAGCCTCACATATCTCATCAAAGAGACACTTGCTGGAACACTGATGGCCCCTATGAATAATAATAAAATTCCATTCCCATGAAAGCAACTGAGCTAAGCTACTAACTTCTTGAAACGGTGTCATATTTTTAGTCTCACACAGCTATTTTCTGTCTCCACAGCCGAGCAAAGGAGCTGGTCGCCGGTGCAGGTGATGTATCTTTTTAGCTTTTTTTTTGTCATGCCTTTCATCCTGAAACTGAGACCACAATCACTGTGTTCACCACTTTATCTAAATGGCCAAGGGATTCAGTTTGCCATATACACAAGGTATTTAACACAGAATCTTGAAGACTAGATGGAAAACAAGATTTTTGGCAAATCACAAACCGTGGTTTGCAGGGGTGAACCTGAGTCAGAATGCAGTGATTAGAGGCCCTGAAAACACATGTCTCGGATTTCTTAATACACATTCCCTGCTAACCAAGTTTTGGTTATTTCACACAAGAGATTTTAGTATTTAGCATTTTTTATTGCGTACAGGCATAAATAGTGCTGCTTAAGGTTAGAAGCTGTAGGATGTCACACCAGATTGGGTGGTATTCTTCCTGCTAAGTCCCATCCCTCAAAGGCAGACTAGCCAATCATTGCGTAGCATCAGACACAGAAATGTGATGATATTTATGCAGGAAGTACAGTTAGTGACAGTGTGGGCTCCTGGGTAACTCTGACATCTTGACGGAGTAGCAGCCGAGGGCGGGACTTAGTCAAAGATTAATTGGGCTACTTTTTATATGATTGGGCAGGTAAATGGTTTTGGGCAGCTTGTGATAGTTTAGGCTTCTTTTTTAACCATGTGTGCAGTTAACTGTGATGAGAAGGTATTCAATATATTCCAATCAATAAGACATTCCTCTCCTCCAGTAAGAATTTTGACCTTACACCCACCGTGCAACTCCTCTGCAGTAATTCATAATAAATGTGTTAACAAGTCCCCTATTATCCCAGTCATGATGAGGTTTCTGCAGAATCTTAGTCATACATGTTTACAAAATATCCTGGCTCAAGAAACCTGTAAAAGCCTTTGCCTCGTCCTATTGTGTAGTAGTCAGTAAAACAAAGAATACAATGCAGCATTATGATGGTCCACATGCTGTGAAAGTGAAAGTTTGACAGCGGTGAACTGTATTGTCGCGCATAGTAACACACTGGCAGAAGCTCTTTTTGGAAATTCTTTGAATCACTTTCATATTAATTCACCCTATAGATGCAAAAAAAATTTTCTTGCCAATTTTCCTCAGCATGCTGCCTGTCTATAGCTAGACATCATAGTACAGAGTGTTTGCATGGAAACAGGGTCCTTTGATTGACAGGTGACCTTTTATGTGGAGTTCAATGCAAAAACAGCACAACAAGAAATGTTCCCTCCCAATGAATGCTGTCTGTAGTGTAACAGAAGTATAATCCTGAGAGGAACAAATATAGACACGCTGCAAAGATTTTGTTATAATCAGGGACTTTTTTCAAGTTTTCCTGACTTCAGTGTTGGCAAGGCCAGAGTTGAACTATACTTCTGTACTTGTGCCCATGCAGCTTCTCACTGGTTCACACATGTAGTTATTTGTACAAAAATGAGTGCATTTCCCAACCGACCGCACTTGTGGTTAGCGTAGCTTTTTTATGAGCGTTGGCCTTCAGTCTGGTTACGGTTAGTCCTGTTTTTAGTCCTCGTTCCTACAGTACAGAGTGCCAGAGGACACTCACTCTCTCACATTGTTTGTGAAAGTCGAGCAAAAGAAGAATTCTCTCAGTTGATGCCAGTGGATAATTTGGCAGCAAGCGTTGATGTGATTGACACTGTTGTTACCGATTTCAAAAATTGCTGGACGGACAGATGAACTGCTGCTACAGCAACAACAAAACCTCAAATTTATCTTTTTACATTTCTATTTGTGTAAGAATTAAACAAATGAGATACAACAGGTTAATTGATATGGTGGTAGGCATATTCTTTTAACTTTGAACAGAGCTAGAATAGCCATTTCCCCCACTTCCAGTCTTTATGCAAAGCTAGGCTATTTTATGCTAAACTAGGCTATTTTTAGCCAAAGCAGATCCTGTGGTAGCAGTTATTAAGAGCGTTTTTTTAACATCATTACAAAAATATGCAGAAATAAAAGTTGTTATATTACGTACAACCATATTCCCCAAAATACCTACCAAAATAACAATAATTATTCCAATATTCCTATTCCTAAATCAGTCAATTAAAGTACATTTTGTTGTAATCGGTATAAAAATGTCAGTACACCTGTGCTACCAATGGATGCGTTACGTGTTGGAGAGCTCTTCCAATAGAGTGATAACATAGGTGTAGTAGTAACTAATAATAATGGCTAAGGATAAAGTGTAGGGAGCCAGTACTTCTTCTGAACAACATGCCTGGATAACTGCTGACACAAAACTTCACTTTGACATCCAGCTGAAAGCCACCAGGTCATTTAAAAGGCTTCCTTTATGGCAACCCTGTGAACACCAGAAGTGTCACTCAACAGGACATTTCAACCTCCTTTTTTGATGTGAGTTCTTGTGAAGCCAGACTCAGCGGGGCCAGTTTGGGGCCGCGGGCGCTGCCTGGAATCACATCCACTGTGGTTAGCCGAGCTGCCGCACCACTCCAGCCCACCTGATGGAATGATGGATGGTCAGCTTTGCAGAGGAGGTCACCAAAAAAACATTTTGTTCAAGTCTTCCCCTGGTCTCTCTCCCTCTCTCTCCATAGCTCTTGTTTGATTGAGCATAGTTGTGCATGGCATGAGTCTAGCTTTTTAGATTTCTTAACAGTGGAGAGTGGCAGGAATTTAGGGGGGCATAGGGCAATTGTCTCAGGAGAACTATTTTTGAATACTGTTATGGTAGCGACCAACGTGTGAGTGTAGCACTGAATATCAAAAACTCTCACTCAAAACTGACATTTACCATCTGTCAGATTTTTAAGCTGGGTGGCTGAATTTGTTACCTTGTTAGCCTTGCTTTTGTGTCAGAGGACTACCCACTGCTGTGAGTCTGGTCACTGCCATCACCATCTGGACCCATACAAGAGAAAAATCTAACGCTAGCTGGCCCGCCTCATTGCTATAATGTGGGAACACATCTCTGAGTGTACAGGAGTGGCTGATAACTCAGCAGGGGTTGAAATAACATTAGCAAGCTAGGCTAACTAGCTTGTACTTTCCGAATATAATGCAAACTTAACAGCACAACGGAATGGCTAATGGTTCCTGGCAAATTATTTTTGGAAAATACCAAAAACCACTTAAGTAGCTAAACAGCTAACCTCCTAGCAAAGCTTGTTCTCAGTTATCAGTCAAACGTTGCCGTGGGAATCGCCCACCCAGGGGCCCGGGGCTTAGATACTTCCACAAAGATGTGGAAATACACTTTTAGTGACGAGAATGTAATTGCTTCCAATGAGGGTTTTGTTATTCCTCAACGCATGGCACAGAAAAAAAATGTTTTGGTATCATTACTGAAACTCAAGTATTGCGTTGGTACTAGTAGTTAGACTAGTAGAATGTAGATATAAAGTGATTGTTAGGTAAAAATTGTTATTGTTGTTGTAATACTAGGCCACAACGGGCAGAAGTGCACCACTTGCCCAGCTTTCATCATAGGACTAAAAGCATTCATGTTTTCTTCCGGGCAAGTTTTATTTTTCTCCATGCTCTCTAAACTCCAGATACATATACTGCGAGTTATATATAAGTTCTGTAAATTAAAACTCATCGCAAAGAAAACATAAAAAATGGGGTAGTGATGCACTTCAGCCTCTTGTTGCCACAATGAGTATTACAAATTATCTCATAATACTTGGCAAAACCTTTTTTTTCTCCCAACTTTTTTACAGATGAAAGAAATGAAGGAATAGAAGAAAAGACTATTCTGGCAGAACCTTTATTACTTCACTTGTCTCTCGGGGCTTCCGTCCTACATAGGACGGTCCCGCTGTGTAGTTTTTAAAAAAATGACTCAAAAGACTTTAATTGTAAAAGGTAATATCCTTGCTTTCGTATTTTTACATGGAAGCCTTATTTCTACTATTTGTGATACTATTCTCCAAACAGGGACTTGTGACTTTACTCTCATATGAACTGTGATCAGTGTTGTTAACTAGTGTTCTTATCGGCCTTTTATTTAATCGACGGGTGAAACAGGAACGAGTTTTTCTTCTTTTCTTGCCCAGTTTTGATTTATTTCTTCCTGTTCCCTCTTCACTGACTTTTGCCAGAATGAGGTTCCTGTCCCTTCTCAAGGTGTCTCTCTGGCCTCTTACCAGTTACCACCAGACAGATATTTACAGACCCTGAGTCTGAGTAGTCACTGCTCTGCCCCCC